AGAAGGAATACAGGAATGTTGCCATAGAAAACACCCAAGTTTCATAAATGGCAATTGTGAGTTAATCTCTGTATGAACAACTTCTAGATTGCTATAGGAAACAGTATATGCCCAGATTTACTCAGGTTGGATATAAGAAAGTCAAAATATATGATGATGAATAGTAGATGTAATGCTTTGGATCTGAAGCTGAAAAAGTGCTTTGAGGTATGCTAAACTTCTCCACACCTCTTTAAGTAAGATGCATCCTTTCCTGGGTTTGCATAGTAATTACAGAATCCCAGGAAAATTAATTGAGTTAAGGAGGCAGTAACGGCACATCCAAGCCCACTCTAAAGTACCTTCTTGCACCCTGTCGGTGCCTCCTTAACAAAAATGTATATTTTGCTGGGATCACACAGTGCCAGTGTGAAACCAAGAAAAGAGGCAGCTACTTTAATGAAGTATACATGCCTATACTTATCCCAAATCATCTTTTTGGCTTCAGACCCAAAGCATGGCATATCCCTAATGAATAAATATTACTCTTTTTGGACTATGCAAATCCAATATTTATTTCTAACATTTTGTTTCCAATACCGTACAAATGATTCTGGGAACAAAAACTGCTATGGATAGGTATAGGATTGCAATGTCACATTGAGTTTTTTTGGGGGGGGGAATATACATTCTAATTGTCTATTTCAACCTTCTCCAATTTAATGACCTCCAGGTGGCAAGGGCAATAGATTACAGGCTGAACTATAACTCCCAACACCCCTTTCATAACTATTCACAGTGGCTGGGGATAATGTAAGTTGTAGTCCAATATATCCAGAAAATGTTAGATGGAGAAAGGTTGATCTATGCAGGTAAGAGAATAGTTGCCCCTCTAGGCTGCTTCTCCAGTGGTAACATCTTGCATCTTCCTAACATTACAGTACTTAAATCATCACTGAAGTGATATGTAGCCTGCCCACATTACTGTTATTTTAACACACTGATTCTAGAAGACATATTGCTGTTGAAAAAAAATTACCCATAAAAATGGACTTTTATCATCTTCAGGTTATGTTTAACTCTGGCTAAAATAAAGGAAACAAAACTATCCATCTACAATATGTTCTTTCTAAGCAGCCCTTCCCTCCATCTTTGCCGCTTCTACTTCTCTCCCAAAGTCTTAAGCCTAAGGAAAATGATCCAGTACTAACCACATTTGTCTCCAGAGTCATCAAAGACCACATTGAAGGAGTGCCCATTGTTGACTATACTCTTGGCTGCAGACGCATCATATCTGATGCTCAGACTCTTCAGTGCAGGATCGAACTTGGCAGATTTATGTTGGATCGCAATCGGTGACTGTCGTTCTCCATTGGCAATCGGGTAGCTCTCATGCCAACAAGCAGGTCCTAAAACAGAGAAAGAAAGGTTAAAAATGCAGGAATGAAGCTCCAACAAAAGAGGTAATAACAGAATGAAAGGGTGACAAATAGGGTGAAAGACTTAATGCCTTAAGGCAGTTGAAAATCAGGAAGAGTCTGGTAGCACCTTTTCTGACTAACAAATTGTATTAAAAGGCATAAGCTCTCATGAGCTGCACCTCACTTCATCAGATGCAGTCTAGCTGTAGGAAGCCATGGAGGTGGCCTGGGAGATGTCCAGAAGCCATTAGGGTAACAACAGGCGCAGAAGCATACATTGAGTCCAGGGAGGTGGGGAAGTATTAGAAAAGCCTCAGACTGGCTCCCCTGAATTCCTTTGGGAAGGTTGGGAAAAAACAAGCAGACTTTTGCCACTATAGCCAATATCAATAAAGTATAGTTCTACTCTTCTTGTGGAGCTGGTATCTTGATCTGGTCTACCGTAGGGCTGACATTAGTCACTGTTATGCATCTGAGGAAGTGAGTTGCAGCTGATGAAAGTTTACACCTTTTAATAAAAATTGTTAGCTGAAAAAGGTGCTACCAGACTGATTTTTTGCTACTGTGGACTAACACGGCTCTCCACCTACCATAAGGGCACTTGAGCGGGTTTTAACATTTTTTAAAGAAGGAAATTATTTTGGCCAGATGGAATTTGAAGCTTAAGTTATAGTAAGATCATATAGAGAAGCAGATGGAGGAAGAAGGAGAAACCTGGGGTTTTGTAAACTTGAATTGACACTTGCACAGATCTAGGAATCTGGGGCAGAGGGCTTGAGGGGTATTTGAGATGCTATAGATGAAGCAGCATTGCTCAGATTTCTTCACTAAGCTATTGTAGGGAATTAAAAGCTAAGGATGCTTATGGTCTGAACAGTGACAAACTGGAAGCCTACCTACCTTATTTAAACTGGTGCATAAAGTTCAAGGAAAGACTAAGGATTTAACACATAGCAACCAAAATTCACACATCACCCCTGCTTTGCAAAGAAATACACCGGATGGCACATTTACATTTCCGTTTCCATGATTTGTTGTACAAATAGAAGTAACAGCTTTTCATTTCTCACACCATTATAGAAAAGGAAGGCTTGCTTACCCATCCCTAGGTAAGCAAACTTCTTTCTTTACTAATTTAGGGGAACAGAGTTCCTGTTTCAAACACTGTGCTTTGAATGGCAAAGCAAGTGTTGGAATTGTGTGTCCACAGTCTAATGGAGTGCTGGGAGATACAACATGGTCCTCTCCCAGGCATTCCAATTACCTGACAGAAACTGGGAGAAGTGAGGTTCCTCTTCCCTTACAAGTGCCACTGCCATAGGTTTTGCAACATATGTTCCAAAACTCTTGGCAAGTTCTGCTTGGAAGAAGAGAAGGATACAACATAAGAGGCAGCTGGAAGCTCAGGTGAGAGGAATCTCTAGCTGCCTTTCTCAACCTGTTGCCTATCAGGTGTGTTGGTCCACAGCTCTCGTCATCCCCAGCAGGCACAGCCAATGCTGTAGTCAGGTCCATCTGAAGGTCAAATGGCTGGAGAACAATGGCCCCCAAGCCCCTCATCTGTTACACCTCATAGCTTTGATAGGATTGTAGGGTTACTTTCTTCTACTTGGAGCTCTCCTACCGGGAACTCTTGTTTGCAGTCCAACTCAAACGCTAAAAAGACCACCACCGCGATTTCCCATCACCCGCTCCACAATTCCTACTTCAATGCGGAGTAGCAGGCAGTTCAGCTCGCACCCAGCCGAAGCTCCGCTTCGCCCAGAGCCGTGCCTCTGAAGGGCAGGCTTTCTCTGAGCTCTGACTGTGAGCGCACAGCCTCTCCGGAACAAGCGCCAGCTCAGGTGCTGTAAGCGGCAGCGGGGTGCGCGCCCCTTTCGCTTGGCACCAGAAACAGGAGCCGACCCCAGAGCCGCGGCTCGAGGGAACTTCCTCGAGCGACCCACCAACTGGAGATCGTGCCCGGACCGGGGGCGACCCTCACCTTCCTCCAGAGGAACTCACCGTTCTCCTTGCTGTAGCCCCAGGACATGGTGATGGTTCGGCTTGCCGGGTACCGCCGCTGCTCCTGCGCGCTCTGCCTGCCCGAGGGTAGCCGGGCTGGGGTTCTTCTCAGGGGCTTTTATAGGTCCCGACCAACTCCATGACCCTCGCGGACCTCGCCGACGGGAGGGGGAGCAAAGGGGAGGAGAAGGAGGCGGCTCCCGGTGGAGCGCCGCCGGCCGGGGGGCGGAGAGAGCGGGACAGGCTGCCAGGCGGCGGCGTGCGGTTGTCTTCTGCGCTTCCCGGAGCCGCGCCGCTTTCGTCGCTGGGGTCCTGCTCCGTCACTGTAGTGGGAACCTCTGCCGCCGCACCGCGTCACTCCAAGCCGGAGCCTGGCACAGCCAAGCGCCCCAGCCCGGCGCTGCCGCCTCGGGAGGGGCGCCGCGTGAAGGAGATTGTTGGCTCAGGCCCGCGCGGAAGATGGAGCGGGTTCAGCTCGCTCTGCCGGGCGGGCGCGCAGAGGGGGGTGGCGGGAAGGCTGCTGCTTATGTCCGAATCTTCAGGGCCTTCGGTCTGGCTCTGGCCGCCAGCCCCACCGCGCAGTTCCCCATCCCACGCGCTGGAGTCTAGTTCCTCCGGGAGGCGGGAAAATCCCTCGCGGGAGTGACCTTGAGACGTGCTTGCGCGCGGGCGAAGCAGAGCCGGCCCGGCGGGTTTGCGGGAAATGCCGTGGTGCGTGGCGGCTTTTGCGCTTCAGGTTGGGATGTGACGGGAAGCGCGGGGAGCTCTAGGGATTCCGATAGTTCCGGAGGCTACCCAGGGATCAGGAGGGATCGTTCATGGTCCAGAACTGGCGCCCTGGAGTTGCCTGGAAGGTCGCAATGAGAGAGCAGAGGTTGGTAAAACGTTTGTGTGGTCTTTGAATGACCCTGGGTCTTGTCCTCGGGTCGGGGTGGG